CCACGAGGTGAGATCTTGCATGGAGCTCCAGACCGAGGGAGATTGGCAGTTAATTTATGTTTCTTCCATTTGCGAATAATTGCACCAACTGTTGTCACCTTCTCACCCAGCTGCTTGGCGATGGTCTTGTAGCCCATTCCAGCCTTGTGTAGGTCCACAATCTTGTCCCTGACATCCTTGGAAAGCTCTTTGGTCTTGGCCATGGTGAAGAGTTTGGAATCTGGATTGATTGATTGCTTCTGTGGACAGGTCTCTTTTATACAGGTAACGAGCTGAGAGGGCTCCCAATGTCAGCTCGTTACCTGTATAAAATACACCTGGGAGCCAGAGATCTTGCTGACTGATAGGGGATCAAATACTTATTTCATTCATGAAAATACAAATTACTTTATAACTTTTTTGTAATGCATTTTTCTGGATTTTTTTTTTTGTTATTGTTGTCTCTCACTGTTCACATAAACCTACCATTGAAATTGTAGACTGATCATTTCTTTGTTAGTGGGCAAACTTATAAAATCAGCTGGGGTTCAAATAATTTTTTCCCCTGACTGTATGTGATAAAGAAAGTAATGTGGACAGTCCCATTACTATGCCTAAGTTGCCTAAATACCACCAGGTGGTATTTGTGGGACCTTTGTCACTGTTACAGAAGTCAGTGCATCTATATGACATTGTCATTATCTCTTGTCATTTATGCATTTCCCCCCTCTTTACTGTGCAATGCTCATGTTATTTCAGTGAATGTACTGTACCTTTCTGCTCTTCGCTGGTATGTCATGCTATATTCTGCGTTCTGCTGACTTGTTTTTTATGAGTATGTAATGAGATCGAGTCAACTATAGGACTGGGAATTTCTAACATGTTCATATTTTGTCTGAAGCCCATTTTTAATGAGATTTCTTTTACCAGGAACATAAGTGGTGAATATTAGAAAGCCACAACGTGCTGTATTGATTGCCAACATTTTTTTAAACAGATGATGATCAGAATTTCACTTTGCTTTGTCTTTGTTTCATAAAGCCTCGATCAGGCAAGAGAACAACATTTCTGCAAGGACCTGGGAAGGTGGTTATGGTTGCAATTTGCATGTAAGTGTGTGTGTGTGTGTGCGTGGAAAATAACAACAGTTGTTTTGAATTCATTTGACTTCAGTTCAAATTCATTTTTTTGAAGCTGGGTATGTCTTGACTGCCACATCGTCAGGTAGCTAACTATGTTTTGATGTCCTGTACAAAAGACCAGATTAATCTGTAAACGAGATCATTTAGAAGTACCGCTACCTTTTAAATGACAGCTTAACTAGATAACTTTTTCATTACCTTGTGAGTGCTTCATCCACATTTTGTTTGTCCCTAGCAATGGCCTCAATTTCTTCTTCAAGATTCTGGCTTGGATCTACACTGGATCAGCTAGCATGTTCTCTGAGGCCATCCACTCTCTGGCTGACACCTGCAACCAAGGTCTGCTCGCCCTGGGAATCAGCCAGTCTGTCCGCAACCCAGACGCCATACACCCGTAAGCACTACACTCTACTATAGTATTTAAAAGTAGATGAGAGTAAGCATTAGCATCACTATGCATTGTTTGTGCATAAACATAAAAAATACATAGCCAGTCTCCCTAACCTTCTGTAAACATAGGAAAACGTATCAAACACTAAGTAACGCTGAAAGTTTGATGGCAAACTGTTTGACCCATTCTGACGTCCTCACATCACATTGAGCTCAAAGTTAACTTGCAATGGAGGGTGATGGTCACAAAGATGACTCAAAAAACTTGAAGTGTTGCCTCCTTTCACAACATTTTTATTTCTGCCGATAGGGCAAGCATCTTCAGTTCAGTCTCCCTCAGGACTCTTGTACAAACCAAAATATGCCCACACTTCAGACTTGGTATGCTTAGATGGATGAAACATCTCCGGGATGTCTTGACTACATTCCGGCATGTTTTCGCTGACCCAAACAAACCCACGTTGCAAACTGCACTTGCGTCTGAGACCCTCTGTATAACTTTGGTTTGCCCTGAACAGTATTTAACCCTTCAGTGGGAGAGTTTTTTAAACCACGGTAATGAACCATGATTTTAATGATATTTAAAATTGAAAGCAGTAATACCAACTGTCAGAGAGTTTACCGTGACACTGATAACCATTTCATCTGTATTTAAGAAGCAATCATTTAAGGTGGAGATGATTTTTAACAAATGTCCACAGTTTGCAGATTTACAACTGTGCAAATGTAACTTTTAATTTGCAAAGACTATGCTGTATGTACAGAGTGTAAAATTAACAAAATACCAGTGGCTTAAGTGTCAGCTGTAATACAAAGCTTCTGTGTGTTTCAGATATGGATTCTCCAACATGCGCTATATTGCCTCTCTCATCAGTGGGGTGGGCATTTTTATGATGGGAGCAGGCCTCTCCTGGTACCATGGCATCATGGGATTGCTGCACCCAGAGCCCATGGAATCATTGTTATGGGTGAGGGTTGGACTGACTGTCTGTAAGTCATGGTTTATAAAGGAAAACCATAACCCATCATGTTTGTTTTACAGGCTTATTGCATTTTGGCGGGCTCCCTGGTGTCTGAAGGAGGTGGGTTATAATGAAGAACTAACCTTGTGGTTTTGACTGTTTGTCTTGTACTTGAACATCTCCTTTTTTTCCTCTCTCAGCCACGTTACTAATAGCCATCAATGAGATAAAGAAGAGCTCCCGCCAGCAGGGACTGTCATTTTATGAATATGGTATGTACAGCAGTAATGTTTGTGTTACTAACTGGTACAGCAGTGAGCGCCTTGAACCCCATTTATACCTTACATTTATTTGATGGTATTCACTTCTTACTGTCAAGATGTTTTTTTAAATAGGGCGGTAAATCTCTGCTGTAAGATAACTGGCTCTCAGCAGTAGAGTCTGTGTTCTGTATAGCAAACAGTTGTGAGTGTGACAGCTCCCATCGCTTACATCCAGAGATTCAGATCCTACACATTGGTTCTCTTTTTCAGTCTTATTAGCAAACACAAATACCTAAAACCTTTTTTACTCATGCTGTATATATCTGTTTGTCTTTCTACACTTTCTTTTTCCGTTTTTTTAATTATGTTTATATGCCCTGTTGAACTGTGTTGCTGCTGCGCAGCTAGCTGCCCTTTGGCAAATAAATAACAAATAAACTTGACAGATTTATTGATTCAGGTGTAAATGAGGTTTCGCATTGTTTTGTGGGTGCAGTAATGCAGAGTCGAGACCCGAGCACTAATGTAGTGCTGGTGGAGGATGCTGCTGCTGTTTTGGGAGTCATCTTGGCAGCTGGCTGCATGGGGCTCACCTCGTTCACAGGTAGGCAAGGAGACGTCCTTCACCTTGATTGTTTGTTTTCTGTTCTTCCAAGACGTGCAATTAATGACAGTTTCTTTTTATGACCATCTCTATCTGCATTATGATTTATTATTCTGTTGATGTGTTACATTGCACTCAGAATAACCTTTCTCTTGTGTTTTAGTACTTTGGTCTCTAATTGAATGCTGGCAAGATCCAGATTTCCAACATCTTACTGGGTTTCTTTCTTTCATTTTACTGGGTTTCTCTCTGCCTCTTTTGTCCCAGGTAACCCATACTATGACAGTTTGGGCTCTCTTGGCGTGGGCACATTACTGGGTACCGTCTCTGCCTTCCTCATCTACACCAACACAGAGGCCCTGCTGGGACGATCCATAAAGCCTGAGAGTGTACAGAAGCTTACAGAGTTGCTGGAGAATGACCCTGTTGTAAGGTCAGCAACACCCTGGTGTACACACATACTGTACACACACCTCCACAGCTGTAAAACATGAACCAGGTGTTGATGTCAGGTCTGGAATCATTCATGTGATTTTAAATAATCTAAACTTACAACTACACCCACCATTAAGTAACCCAATCCACACCTAATGATAGAAGCATTTCTGAATGAGTTGAAGGCCTGTGGATGAGAGTCCTCAGTCTGAAGTGACTGTTAACTTGTTTTGTTGGAAAGTCAGTTCAACAGCCACAAAGGGACACAAAAGAAGGAATGCAGAATGATGACGAAGCACAGAACCTCTACACAGAGATGCAACATGACCAAAAATAGATACAGACACCTGCAAAGAGACACAAAATGACTTCAAAATGATACAGCTACACAGTTATTTTGTCTCTTTCAGTCTGGATGTCATGCTCTTTTGTAGGAGGGGTGGGGGGCTTTTACACGTCTGCACACGGGGTTTCAGTTGTCCCATGATTCATTCATGGATAACATTCAGGCTGGAAATAGACCACCCAGTGTGCACTGGGCTTGAGGACCACCTGTACACAGGGCAGTGCACAGTGCTTCAGTTTAGTATCTCAAACACAACATGAAAGTGCAAGTTGCAAACAAGTTAAAGATGGGGTTCACTGTACATTTTATTCTGTCTGTGAGATTCATAAGGTTGTTTTTTTATTTCATTATCAACACATTGTGTTTTAGCACAGATTCACTGTAGTGTTCAGTAGTGATGTTTTGTTGAAGCTGGGTGGTGCTGCCTGTCTGCCCTGGAGGATTCCTGCTATGCTGTATTTTATTATGAACAGGGCCATCCACGATGTGAAGGCCACTGATATGGGGCTGAGTAAAGTGCGCTTCAAGGCTGAAGTAGACTTTGATGGCCGTGTGGTGACACGTTCATATCTGGAAAAACAAGACATTGACCAAATCCTGAATGTAAGTTGGTATTTATATCAAATTTACATTACATTTCCTATAGTTGTATTCACAAACAAGGTTCTTTTTGTTGACTTCTTCATCATTGTTGGTACCTTATTAAAGGTTTGAGCTGTTCTCTTACCAGGATGTATGGTAGACAAATATATTTGATAATATTTGAAATAGATTAGTGAGCAACTGTCAAAGGCAGCTACATGGAATAATAATGCTAACCTACAGATTTATTCAGATTGCAGGTTTTCTGTCTTTACACTGAAGGTTAATTGTTCCTTCTTTTTTACATCACAACAGTTATGAGCTGTAAGACAGAGCAGGGAATATGTCACATTGTTGGTTTCATCAGTCTGTTAACAGCAGCTTTCTGTCATCAGGCTTAGGACACTTTTCTGTTAATGAGCCTCACAGCTTCAGTGAGACACCTCTGTCCATGAGGAGAGAGCCAACAATGTTCTGGATCCCATATCTGAAAAGGGCAGTTCTCATGCACTATTTCTGTCACAATAGTCTCCACATTGTTTTGTAGCGTGCAGACGTTTAGGGTGTTAATCTGTTGTCTCCTGAATGAGTTTTGTTGTTTGTGTTTTTTAAACAGCAGAAATCATTTGCTGGCAGCGAGAGTCAGTCTTAAAATCTGTGTGTGAAATACAGGGGGTCTCAGAAATGTGCCTGACTATTTTCTTTTTATCTCCACTATATCATTTATTTGCATGTAACTTTATAAACAGTTAGCCTAATTGTTTTTAAAGTAATAAAACAAAGATGGGCTTTAAGCCTATTGTATTCACAGCATTTATGGTATTACACCAAAACTGACTGCGGTCCGCGGGAGCGCACAGGACGCATGCATCACTCCCTTGATCTCCACCTACAGCTGCTTTTGTCAGGATCAAGCCAACATAAAATACAAAAATTGAAACAACATATGTCCTCGTTGTAGTAGCAAAGGTGCCAACTGGAGCACACAGCAGCGTTCACCGCCATGCCAACCCTCTGAAATTCACAATGTAATTCACACACTCTTTAAAATGTGATATCTTTGCCTTCTGGTGTGTTTCTGGCATTTGCTGTATGTACATCCAAGTGCTTTCTCTATCTCTACAGTGTGTGCTTTCCTCCCTGTGCAGGAAATTCAGCAGGTGAAAACCCCCGAGGATCTGGAAAACTTTATGCTAAAACATGGGGAGAACATCATTGACACTCTGGGGGCCGAGGTGGACCGCCTAGAGAAAGAACTCAAGGTACTGAAATACAGTAATAAACTAATATTTATTTATTTATTTATTTAATGTACTTAATTAGCATATAAAAGTTTTTTTCATCAAGTTATGGATTTGTATCTAATCCTGATTTGTTCCTCTATAGCAACGTAACCCGGAGGTTCGTCATGTAGACTTGGAAATACTATAATATTTATTGGCCTCTGCTGAGCAAGAAGGACCAAGAAGAAAGGGTGAAAGCGGGGCCGAGTCCACCTCCACAGTCTGCCTCCCATGCTGACCGCCGCAACCCGAAGCTCCATGTCTACACTAGTCCTCAAGTCTTACCATGAAGCAGTCCAGAAACATGTACAAAGATCAAGTTGTGTGTCTCTTGAACTTTGGTTAGTGGTAGTTAAACCAACCAGAGATACACACTCACATTCAAGTGCATGTGTGTTTCTACCTTAAGACTAAAGACTTACTAGTGTCCAAGATTTTTAAGAAAAACCTAAATCTGCGTTGCAGTTCACAGAAATGACAGTTTACTCTCCTGGGTGTTTGCCTGAGCTCACATTCCTCCATGAACATGTCTGAGCTTGGCTGAAATCAGGCCTGCCTCACAAACAAAATCGCAGACAGGACCAGTATCATCTGCCGAACTTGTATTTTACTTTAATGGTAAACTTGAACCAGTGATGGCGTTTCTTATAATAGTACAAAATGAATTTATAGAGCTACATGTTGGAGCCATGAAGGTTTGTTTCATTACTAGAACATAGTAGCTTTTTCTGAGGAGCTGCAGACGGCACGATGCTGCTGTAGGTTCTCTAGTGAAGACCGTTTGCTACAAATGGATTACAGAAGAATATGCAAAATATAAAATGTTACTAAAACATTTTATTTGATTT